CAAATTTGTAAGGATGAAAACAATCATTTCTTCCCACTAGGTCCAGTACTAAAGTAGGAACTTCGTCGCTAAGCTTACAGAATCACCTGGCCGATACACATGTCCTTTTGGCCTGATAGTGTCAACAGACTTACTCAGCTTTTACAAACTTGAGTTAGCTCTAGCCTCAATAAGCTGATGATCATAACAACACACGAAGATGGCAAGATGGTGCGTTGTATTGGGCAAAGGGTTTAACTTGTAACTTAAGCTACTAAGTGTATGCATATTCTTTACTTAATGTATACGTAGCCAATCAGAGTACCCAAAACTCTGCGTATCACCTTTTTACTGTGTGCACAACATAAAGCATGAACATTTCGCAGTTTCTAACAAAAACAATGACTGAATATGTTCATCCAGAAAAAAAAAGTCCTTGGCTTAGACGCCACAAACATTATTTAACACTAACTGTGATTATATCAACATGCAACATTGGTTAGAATTAAACGGATCAAATTAACACCAGCATGCAGAATTAAGTGTTGAGAAATACACCCTACCTGGTCTCTGGCTCGTTCACCAGCAGAGTTGAGCCGAAGCCCCCCACGCCCCCTCCCTCCCCCATCGGCCCGGCCATCAGGCAGAGCTGCTCTGAGGTGAGCCCCATCCCCGGGCCCTGGCCCCGCGCTTTGGGGCTGTCCACGAACACAGACGAGGACACAGAGTCCCTTCTCAAACTCTGCCTGCCCGGGGAGCCCCGGCCGGGCATGGTGCCCCCGTAGGACTCCCTCATATCGGGGATCTTCTGTGGGGAAGAGGGGGGAGGCACCCGCAGCCCCATGGCCAACATGGATGCAGCGTAGGCGTCGTTGTAAAGCGGTCCCCCGGGTCTATAGAGGGCCCCGCTTTCCATCAGCTCTCCTTGTAAAGCGGCTGCTGTGTAGGAGGTGAGTGATCGCATTGATCCTGCACCCCCACCACCCCCTCCTCCTCCACGCCGGTACAGGGAGCCGTAGGGGTCGGCTCTGGCCGGTAGAGGGGAGTGAGGCCCTGCAAGACTCAACCTCCCCGGATCCGGGCCCAGAGAGTAGGGGTCAGCGTAAATCCCCACTCCCCCGCGGTCGTCTCCCCGCAGCAGCACCATGCTCCTGGACCCCCCCACCTCATCGTCGGGCTTCACGTCCCTGCGCTCCAGGATGGCGCTGGACGAGGCGAAGCAGGCCTGCTGGGTGTGGTGCGGCTGGTGGAGCTGGGGCTGCTGGTGGGGGGAGGAGTGGTGGGACTGGGAGTGTGGTTGCTGGTGCGGGTGGGGCAGGGAGTGGGTGTGGTGGGCCGGCCCGGCATAGGAAGATGGCCGACCGCCACCGCTGTAGAGGAGGCGGGTGCGGGACGGGGAGCCTTGAGGGGAGGCCGAGGAAGAGGAATGCTGGGAAGACATGGGGGGCTGGCTCAGGCGGCGGTTGGGTGAAGAGTCCTGAGGGGCATAGACCATCTCCCTCTGTAGAATCACCAGAGAACACACGCTACTGTCATGTTTCCACTAGCTCAGTCACAACCATCACATTGTCAATTCCTCCTCTGCAGCACCGGGTTCAACCAAGTGTTGCTGTTACTAATATCTAACATAGTTTAAAAAAAAAAAGAAGTATTTATTAAAGGTCCCATGTCATGCTTTTCCGGTTATTACCCGTCCCCTTGTGTGTTATGAAGGTTTTTCTGCATGTAAACGGTCTGCAGAGTCACAAACCCTCAAAGTACACCCTGTAGCGAGTAAAACTAACACTGCCAAGGCACACAGNATACAGTATGTATGTTTATAATAACATTGTTCTGTGTGTCAAAATGAAAGGTAATGAAATAAGACCCCGCGGTTTGATGATTGATAGGTGTGTGGGCTGTCTTTCATTTTGACACACAGAACAATGTTATTATAAACATACATACTGTATGTTAAATGGATATATCCACCTTCTTTCATTTATCTTTCCATTCCCACAACAATATACATATATATATTTTGGACATAGTTTGAATGGTGATTAATCATGATTAATTAATTTTTAAGCTGTGATTAATCTGATTAAAAATTGTAATCGTTTGACAGCCCTATACACATGTTGGACAGACGTGTATATGTATTGCATATTGACTGAGTTGTGGAAACATGCAACTGCAAAAATTCTAGGTGCAATGTTATCATTTCAAACGGGCTTTGAGCTTTTAATGACACTTTTATCCAACTAACAATGAGGGTATTCAACCATAGGGACACACATTTAAAGTACATAAGCTTCAGATTAGCCACATTTGTTTAAATGCTACATATACATGTTTTAATTAGTAGATGTAATTGGCCAATGCGCAGTGGCTACAACTTCGGCAATGATGTGTATATCAAAGACTATTATGTAGACTTCGTTGAATATTCAGCTAGATAACTGTACAAAAAGAAACGAGTGCGGAGAATAAGATTTATATTTATGCCAGTTCTTTGATAATAAAAGCTGAAACCTGCAATGTGCTCCTTTGAAGAGTTACACAGGTTCATGCTTATACTTCTCTCCCTCTGCCTCGGTTTAACAGGCGTGGATCCTTGAAATAAAGGCATGTAATAAAGCATATCCCATAAAAACATACCTATCAGTTTGCATTTGCGTGAACTCATGCGCCTGACTGCACGTGTTTGTGTTACGTGCACTTCTTTACAGGCTTTGCAACAGGACTTGTCAAGTAGGTTATGTACAGTATCCACACACACACCGCACATTGTTGAGTCGCCTCTGGCGGCTGCTCACACATCAGACAGTATGAGCATCGGATGCTGACACCAATTATTCAGAAGCGGTAGGAACTTGTTGCTTAACCTGACATATCAGTGGGTTGCTGTTCTGCATCATCTGCAGCTCAAGGCTTAGTAGATGTGTGTAAGGGGAAGAGGATACTCAAGCCCAACAGGTACCATTCCCTCTGGATGACTAAGAAACAGATGAGCGTTCATTACATTGAATTTAAAATGATATGGGAAAAAAAAAGATTACTTGATATTGGCCCCGCAGACTGGTCTTTGAACGTAACTGCTGCATGAACATTTTATTACAATGAGTTTTGTTTATTTTAATAAAACTGAAATGATTGGGAGTCAGAAAATTGCTTTGGGGCAAATTGTTTTTTTTGTTGCGTTTTTATAATGACATTGTCTTTATTTCATTTTCAAACAAGCTCTTTGAATCATCTCAATTAATTTAGAAGTCATAGAAAAACAAATATTATACATTTCCATAATTTTGGGATGACTTTGTTGAATCAAGTTGTTGTTGCTGTTATAACTGCATTATGAATTTCATACTGCAATAATCAAACTGCAATTTCAAACTCCAATTGGTTGGGTAAACATATATTCATACTATGACATATATTTACCCAACCAATTGGAGTTTCTCAGTATCTATGTGACATGTGTGCAATACTTCACACATCATCCAATCGGAGTATTCAAAGCCGCATTAGAAGCGATGTTTTCTTTCTTTGTCATACATTTGAATAGGCAAAAAACGGTGTTGTTTTGATAAATGCTTTGTGTGGGAATCAGAAAAGTCAAGTTCAGTTCAACACAACTGCTTTCTTTTTTTTTGAGGACATCTCATTGTGCTCCCTTTTTTGCTCGTATTTTGAAGGCATGCAAGACAGCAGTGTGTCTCGGCGAAAAAAGTCTGAGGTGTGAATTAAATGAGCTGACATAAACATTTCTATGATTTATTCTAAATGTTTGAGACGTTACCGCAGGATGAAGCTGCTGAGAATACAGTTTGCCTTTTAAATAAGTCCTTTTATATTGAGTCACCGGCCAATGTCAACATCACCACCAGTGTGCCATTTGATGTAAAATACTATGTTCTTCCCATTTAGTCCCTGCCGAGCCTGTCTATAACACATACTTACACATGACTCCAAGCATTATTGAATTATAAATCCATTGCATTGAGGCTGGCACACACTCACACAACAATGGTACATTTCACATCCAGTGGACCACCAGCTGTCTGGCAGCTGTCTCCACCAAAGTGAAGGCTAGATACTTTGACAGCATCATCTTTCTGACGTCTGGAGCGAAAATTATGAAATGCAGTGACAGAGGAATCTGCTTGACTGACACTGTGGAACATCCATTGAATGCTCTAAGTCTGGTGTCTGTGGTTTTCCTTACAATTGTGTTTGGTTCCCTTTTATCTTGCTGTTAATGTATTCTCTTTATCCCTTTTGTCTTCTTTGATCAACATGAAACCTTGTCTGCATTGTTTCTTAGATAAATACCAAGAAACATAAACAACACTAGTTTGATTTAATCCATTTATTTCCACTTTGGCTCTGACTCAATCCCTTTTTTTTCAGAAATGGTAAATTGCATTCCTAAAAATCCTATATTTTTTTAACTGTTATGCTTTTTTATCATGATTGTTACTTTTTTTCTCCACATAATACAAAGAACATGCTGATTTAATTGTAAAACATTGTAAGATGGAGGAGGCAGAATGTTTTTAAAATCCCCAGTTACGGAGAATTATAGCTCAATTTTTCTCTTGACTAAACCTTTACATTTAAAAGCTGCAAGATATGGACTTCGGCTACAAATACATTCCATATAATATTACCTAAGGTTTGTTTAAACTAAATAAAATGCAATGTAAAGGTGGCATTGATCAGAGCATTCATGTTTCTGTGAAAAGGGCCCAGGAGGTGAACTGGGACCTCTCCAAGTAGCAGTCCACACTCCATATTTAGGTCTGTGCGGGGACTTGAACCTACGGCTCACAGTCCAAGACCCTGCTGACTGTGCCACTGCCGGATTATAGTGTTCTTAAAATAGTTTGCTATCTTTGTTTTTTAATTTTAGTTTAACTTTTATGTATTCACCACGACACCAAGTCAAATTCCTCACACGTGTCAACCTACCTGGTACTAAACCTGTTTCTGAAACTGATTCATGGACTCTAAAGTTTCTTGTATCTCGTGTTCAACAGTCTGCACTTCCTGGTTTACCACACGGAGGAGGTCCACGACGTGCTTCGGATCTGGGACGGGCCCCAGGAGGGAGGGGTCCTCCTGAGGGAGCTGAGCGGCTCCTCGCTGCCCCCGGACAGCCACAGCACCTTCAACACCGTCAGCCTGCAGTTCACTACAGACTTCTTCACAAGCAAGCAGGGCTTTGCTATGCAGTTCTCTGGTGAGCATGAAACGAGGGAACAGCAAAGGGTGTAAATAGAGAAAAAACATAGCAAAAAAGCCTCTTCCATCATGGTTCTTGGTATTATTATTATTATGTATTTATTTCAACAAGGACCATGCATACAAATACATTAATCCCAGAAATTAGAAGAGATTAATTATGCCAGATTTGGGCTAATAGCTCATTTTCATCTGCAGTCCTTATAACAATCAACAAACACTGCATATCTCTATCACACAAACAATCATAAAACATGATTTAAGTACAGGTCAATCAAATAATACATAGTAGGGCTGTACCCGAATATTGTTTCGTTGGAGTACTATTCGGGTTTCAATTTAGTTATTCGGATATTCGTTTTTATTTTATTTTTTCGTTTTCTTTTGAATTTATTGAAATCTCCAATATCAACGTAAGAGCTTGTGCGTCTTCGGGGGGTGCTAACACTTAACCATAAAAGTTATCGTTTACTTTCTCCGTCTTTATATGTAGATATGACTTTCTTCTCCGTTAATCTCCGTCATGCTGTTTCCATAGCAACAACAACTTCCTGTCAACAGCGCTAACTCTCCTTCAAAATAAAAGCATGTCCATACAAAATAGGAAGCCAAGCCAAATTATACTTAAGACATACACAACTGCAACGCAAGTAACAAACACAATGCGATATCCTTTTCAATTTCAAAGAACACAAATTGGGTTGTATCACATTAACAAATAACTATAAAACAACAATACTGTAGAATAAAAAATGAATGCCGTGAATAAACCGAAATACAACGTGTTGAAGCGGCTCGCTGCTGATTACTACCGAATATCCGGAGCCCTGTATATTACAATACAGTTCAAATTGAAAAACTCAGATTACAGTGTAATTAATGTTGGCATGACTGGTTGCTTAATATCAATTTGTTTGCACCATAAGAGAATGAGTTAAAGTCAGTACAGGTTTTAAGTTCAACTGGAAAAACAATCCAGTGTTTGATGGCCCTAAATGAAAATGCAGGTTGTGCAAAGGCAGTGCGCTTCAGAGGGAGGGTTACAGGTCTTGACTTTCTGCAACTCTGCTCACGGCGAAACTGAAAAAAACATTTTCATGTTGTTGATTGAGCATCTTCTCTGTCTTCTTTAGTCTCCACTGCAACCTCCTGCAATGATCCGGGCCTGCCCACCAATGGGACGCGCGGCGGAGACAGCAGGGAGCCCGGGGACCATGTGGTGTTCCAGTGTGATCCTGGCTACGTCCTGCAGGGGGCCAACAGGATCACCTGCACAGAGATCAATGGACGCTTCTTCTGGCAGCCTGACCCTCCCACCTGCACAGGTATATCATCAGTGAGGGCTCATCAGGCTGAATGGAGTATTAACAGAACTTGCAGGGCTCATATCAAATCATATCTTGGTATGACGCATTTCACAAGCACTCTAGTCAAATCACATGCATATATAATTATGGAGGTTTGCTTTAATTCAATAATTACCACTGCTGTAATTACACTGGTGTTTTGGATTACTCATCTTAACGTGTAATTAACTTTGTTACAACATACAAACTTTGAATGTTAGTCTTGCATACAGAAGAAAAAGAATATGTAACGCTCACAAGATCTAGCTATATCATGAATAATCTCAATCAATCTCAATCTTTATTTATTTATATAGCACATTTGAAACAACCTCAGTTGACCAAAGTGCTGTACAGGGAATAAATACAATATCAAATAACACAATGGGAGTAAAATAATAAAACGATAATTAAAAACATTATAAAAAGCACAATAACTAGAAACATATAAAAACACATACAAAAATTATGTTCAACTAGTGTTAAAAGCCAGTGCAAAGAGGTGAGTTTTTAGCTGAGATGAAGACAAAAAACGATTTTGTCTGATCAAGTGTGTCGTTAAATATTTCACTACAGCTCAAAAAGTGTATGTATAAGCATAGAGTAAGAGTATTAAGAACATGGACTACTTGCAGTTTTATATATACACACAGAAACCCCATTCTTTTGGAAGTATGTTATACTTTTGTGGGTAAACTTTATGTTTTATAAGATTTAAACAATATTATTAGTTATGACAGAATTTATCAAAGTTGTTTGAATGAAATCTACTACGCCTTACAACTTCCATAATGCAGTATACGATATCACTTCACTTGCTGGTCTGAAACAGGTAGACAATACAGATTCCTAACTTGATTACCTAACAGACTCCTTAAGTGAATCCTAAGTGGCAAACCCGATTGCCTCGTTCCCTTGACGATCCCTGAAGCCACTGCAGCAGACAGAGAGATCTGATTACCCTGCCTCTCAATAGAAACTCAGACCTCCACTCTTTTACTGTCTTTGTTTAATATATGATCACACTTAGTGCCCTACAAAACAATGTGAATTAACAATGGCAATTAAGACCTTGTAATTAGCTGCCTTGTTTAATTAGTTCTTAGCTTAATTAGCTTGATATTGTTTGGTGAAGGGTTAGGAAGGACAGTTGTCTGACAGTCACAGGTGAGATTATAGTGAGCGGTGTCAATGGGCTTTAGCTACGTCTTAATTAAGCATCTGTCACTAATTCATAAGGGGAAGCAATATACGTAATAAATCAGGACACTATGATTTACAGTTCAAACAATGTATCTGCTACTTGGAAGTGGGTATTTCATAAAGCCTTTGGAAATGTTATGTCGCTTTGCATTTTTTGGTTTTTGTTCAATTTTCGTTTTGTGTAACACCTTTTTGTTGTCAATGCTGTAATTGTTTTTTCCACATTAGCATATATTAGCATATGGCTAATCAGTTAATTGAGAATCAGCTTGTTCAAGAATTAACTTTGTAAGCATTTTTATAAAAAAAAGTAATAAAGGCAGAGTAAGGCTAATCGTTAAAATATTCAAATTGGAAATTAGATTAGAAACCATCATAAGATGTTTGGGTAGCAGAATGTTTTTTATATTAATACACAGTGGCTGAAAATTGGGGTTTTAATCATTCTAATGTATGAATTTCTATCTTTCCGTAGCTCCATGCGGTGGGAACCTGACGGGTCCTGCTGGTCTGATTCTGTCTCCGGACTATCCCGAGCCTTACCCCCATGGGAGGGAGTGTGACTGGACAGTTTCCGTCACACAGGACTATGTCATCGCTCTTAGCTTCAACCAGTAAGCTTCAGTAGCACACCATGCAAACACTATATGAGTCAATTTATGTTCAATAATATGTCATCCTAGTATGTCAAACAGTAACCCTATTATGACTACTGGAGCTGCAAGTGTTAAAGGTCACCTATTATGCAAAATCCACTTGTTCATGTCTCTTCTACATCAACACGTGTCCCCTCTGTGGAAAGAGATTCTGAAAGTTTCAGGGAAAAAAATCCTCTCTCTTTTTGTCCTGATCCATTTATATAAAAACCTGTCTGAAAATGAGCTGATCAGATTTTGGCCACTTTATGATGTCATAACGATTTTTTGGCTTGTGTAACCATTAACCAATCACCAACCAAGGTAACCCCCCCACCTGAATCTCCTCCTAGAGCACCATTGTGTTCTTTTTAACCAGATATCTCTCAGAGGGGTGTGGGGAGGGGCTCCTTATTTTCATCTAAAGTAACAGACAGAGAATCAGCACTTTTGAAACAGGGCTGAAACAGAAGGGATTATGGGTAATGCTGCAATGATCTGTTTGGTATTTAGAGACATGTTTGTATATATCTGAGACCTATGATATATTGATCAAAAACAGTATAATAGGGGACCTTTAATGTAGCTTCTATTTGTGATTGTGTGTTACCCAGGTTCAGCTTGGAGCCTAGTTATGACTTCCTACATATCTACGATGGGCCGGACTCCCTGGGCCCCCTGCTGGGTAGTTTCTATGGTACAGACGTTCCCGATCGCATCGAGAGCAGCTCCAACACGCTCTTCCTGGCTTTCCGCAGCGATGCTTCCCTCAGCAGCAATGGATTTGTGCTGCAGTACAAAGGTGGGAACCTCTTTGGTTAGAGGAATGAGCCAAACTAAATAATACAATATTTGCCTAATTGGCAAATCAAGCTTTGGGATACTAAGACTTTATATATCTGCGTGTGCATGTGTAGGAGTTTTTTATTCAAAGTCTTTCATCTCCAGTGTCTTAAGATTCTGAACAAAACTGTGAAATTTAAATAGTATGTGAAGCTTTATCCCCTTAACAATTTATGTTTTAGAATTCTTCCGCTGGCTGAGTGAGAATGGATTAAGCCTCTCTGCTTATCGACCTTGCAGATTGTTTCTTTTTAACTTTCTCTTGTGTCTAGTCCAAAGCGAGTGAGATTAGTGGTGTGAAAATTGCTTCAGAGAAAGATTGGGGTGTTCTGCGCCCTGATCAGCACCCTCCCAATGCTGCTCCAGTCTGCTCCGGCGTCACTATTGATCTGTACCTCCTCTAGCAGCCGAGTATCACAAAGAGTTATGAACATGAAAAGCCGACAGCATGTTTACTTGTGCTCTTTTTGATCAGTGCTTTGCAGCTGCACAAAAGTCTCCTCATAAATTACAGCAAACAAAGCTTTGCTGTCTCGTGTCTCTGCTCAGCTGACCGCAGCATGTTGTTCGAGCGACCCACATTTATTTGCTCGCACAAGGTAGCATGTCCTGCTCACACACCACAGAATGATCACTGGCATCCCTGACACATACACAGCCAGCTGGTTTAAGGATTACACAACACATCTGTGCTTTCTGCTATTGTTTCAGCCTCACAGGGAAACGCCTCAGCGCCTGTATGTTAAAGCCTTTACCTAACAAATATACAGATGCTATACAAGCTCTAAATTAGACCGCGCTTCTTCGTTAAGGGCTTTGTGCTGAGAGAACAGTGTTAAATCTTCCTAAATCTCCCAGACTCAATTAGAACTGTTTAAGGTATCAGACGTTTAACCAATTTCAGATCGACCCTGAGCTCTCAGTTTCTCGGCCGGTGTCGAGATCTATTTGATCTATATAAGTTCTCAAAACACTTCCTATTATTTGCAAAACACACACAAATGGAGTGAGACAAAGTGCTTTGTTTAAACGCTGTTACAGAGCCTACCCCTTAACCCACTCCCAGCTATATTTTCTGCCGTGTGTGATAAAGTGTGTGATATTGTATGGCCAATCTGGTAAAGCAGATGGACCCAGTGTGTGGCTCCCAAAAACTCCCTCTCCCCACTTCTAATTCTTCACTCTAATGAACCATAACCAAATAATACATAAATTACCTCCTCAGTTTTAGACAAACAACATGGCAGAAAAGCATGTTTGGCGGCTGGTTTGGGTGTGTTTGTGATGACGAGTTGGCCCAGCTAGTATTCAGCCCGCCACTGAAAATTACATTACACAATCTGCCTGAGGTGCTGTCAGCCTCTTTACCAAGCAACCGTTATGTCTTTCTGTTTCCGTGTCTCAGGCCATGTCTGATTAGACTCTCCAGGGAAATATGTGGGCGGTAACATACCATGGCTGAGCCAGATTTAGATAACACACACACATACACAGATATGGACACACATTCTAGCACTCACATCTGTCTAATCCAATCCCTTCACAAACTCCTGGGTTAATTTTCACTTTGCATCAGATCACTTAAAATCCTTTTAGTATTTCCCAAAACAGATGATGCCACTCGCCCACTTTCTCCCACACCTACAAATGTCCCGAGGCAAAGGCTTGTTAAATCGTCCATCTCCATCGAAGTGACCGACCTTCTCACCACTAGCTTGTGTTCAGGACCAGTCCACAACTTAGGCCCGCTACATCCATCACGCCTCCGCTGTCTCCTGCCAGGTGTGCTGCTTTAATGGAGGAGGGGGCGAGGGAAGGGTTCAGGTCTACATCGGCCGGTAAAAGGGCACAACCTGTCTAGAACAGGCGCCCCCGGGGACACACCGACAGACCACCTGCCTGGCCCCCCCTCTCTGTTCGGCCATGAAGGGCAGCCCCCATCTTTCATCTAGGCATTCATCCAAGGTGCTTCATGCAGAATAGAATTTTCTTGTTTTAAAGCAAAAAGGGAGTTTCATTGAACACATGAGGATGTTGATCATAGTGCGTATTGAAACACCTCTGTAAATCGCAGTATAGTAAAAACTAATATAAAAACCGCCTCTAACATGCTTTTTGGTAAAGGTCAACACTCAGCTCTTCCTGGCCAAGTAAGAACATCATCACCCAGATAGGTAATTTCAACAACTGGAATAGCTACTATTTGCATGAGAAAGTAGTACATCATAGCATTCCTTGCCAGCATCCCAATTGACCTTTACACAAGGATGCTTTTGAAGTATGAACATTGTTTGAGTGTTTGTTTTAAAAGTAAGCTTTTAGCTGGTTGATATCCAGATTATGCACATTTCTCTGAGGTACTGTAATATCGTTGAAGTTGCTGAAAAAAAACCATTTAGCTCGGTTTCCCTTTAGTATGTGTGTGTGTGCGTGTAAAGTCATCAAATATTGAAGTTAGCTGTTAGACTTCAGCGAGCTGTGTTTAAGATTGAGCTAAATTGCTTTGGGCATTTTTCCTGTGTTTATTTTAGCAGTGAGGGAGTGAAGTGTGCCAAATTGACAGGCCTCCTCTAACGTGCACATTTTCCACCTGAGAACAATGTGATGGTAGATTGAGCGAGACATCTTTCTCACGACCTCACGAGTGGTGATTGATATGTGGTTAGATACAGTGTGTGAGTGCGCTGAGGCTTTGTGTGTGTGTGTGTGTGTGTGTGTGTGTGTGTGTGTGTGTGTGTGTGTGTGTGTGTGTGTGTGTGTGTGTGTGTGTGTGTGTGTGTGTGTGTGTGTATGTTCGCAAAAGAAAGCTTACGTATGTGCATTGTCTTCTCTAGTTGACTACACTGCCAAGCGTTGTGTGAGAGGCGGTTGTGTGCAGTCAGCAGACCTTGGGCCAGAGCAATGCCACTCTCAATCAGCTGCCTGTCTGTCTCCTCAGCCATACATACCTCAAGCAGCCACAGATGAAAGGGCACCGTCAAGGGCTGGAGAGAAAAGTGGCAGTCAGAGAGATATATTTACTGAGAGAGGAAAGCACAGGGTAGCGGAAAACCGGGTATAGGAAGCGACAAAGGAAGGGATCCGAAAGTATCAGGATCCTCAGGCAAAAAAAATAATTTCTATTCCAGGATCACCGCTGCAGCTTGATGCAAAAAAAACATCTTATTGAATACCTGCTCACTTTCCTTCTGTTGCTGATTTTCCGCCGTGTTACCTCTTTCCACAGAGAACCCCAGGGAGTCGTGCTTCGAGCCGGGCGTGGTGCGCAATGGGACTCGGGTGGGCGCCGACCTCAAGCTGGGCTCCACCGTCACCTACCACTGCGACAGTGGCTACACACTAGAGGGAGACCAAACCCTCACTTGCATCATGGGGGGAGACGGCAAGCCGAGCTGGAACAAACCCAAACCCATCTGCATCGGTAAACACCGTCGCAATCATTTCTTTAAAGATTCCTCAAATGTTAAAATGCAAACATGATTATGTGGTGTTTGAAAACACATTATGTCCTACAGGTATATGTGTAGAGCTGTGTAGATTCTGCTAATGCTAATAGATGTGAGGGTATAGCTTTAATTGAATCTGCAGTTTGAAGAGAGGCTCTCATTTGCATATCTGCCCTCACACACACACACACACATACACACACACACAAAATCCTGCATAAACCTGTTTTCTCCCCTGTTCTCTGACATTTCACTGACACACGCTGTGCATATTCCCCTGGAAAGCTATAAAAGATCCCTGACTCCACCAAATCCGTCTCTCACAGTGTGAAGCTGCAGGTGCACATACAGGGCCCATTTCCACACATTTAACATACATGAGATCAGCGAGTGCTCGAAACATGCAGGCATTCGCTGGGCATTTTAAGCAGGAGAGGGACCTCATCTTAACCCAGACTAACCCAGTGGGACACTTGGAAAACATTGCAATTTCACTCTGGCAAACACCAGGGACATCTGCCACCCAGAACCCAATCAAACAAGAAAAAGTAATTTAGGAGTAATGGAAGAGAGGCGATGGAGAGAGAAATGGAATGGACCTTCTTCTCTGTCCGCCCTGTCTCTTCATGTCTCGTCTCTGTGTCTCTCTCTAGCTCCGTGTGGTGGACAGTACTCGGGTTTGGAGGGAGTTGTCTTGTCTCCTGGTTTCCCTGGCAACTACAGCCGTTCAAGAACATGTCTGTACACTGTGGGGGTGCCAAAGGATTACGGTAAGCCATGGAAGAGCACTGAATTACTATGTTTATTTCTAAATGTGTATTGTTGTGCATATGTGGGCGTGTGCTGGTGTTTTATTAAAATTCAGTTATTATACAATGCACAGAATGCCCTTATCCGGCTCAAACTCAGATGTGTAGGAGAAAACAGCTTTGTGAAAAATGTTTAAAATAACCCACACACACCGTTTTCTCAGCTTGCATTTAAAGTGTGTCTGTGAGAGGTTGACTGAATGCAGGTGTGTGTTTATTTTCCTCCACACAGTAGAATCACACAGTGATGGATAGTTCCCATTTTTGTCTCATTGCCATACACACATTTTCATATTACTTTGGTATAGCAATTTCATCTGTATCTTACACATCAGGCATACAAAATGTCTGTCTCGGGCACAACCACACACACACATACAAACACACACACACATACCAAAAAATAATTGGTGTCTAGTTTCTGGATTTTTGCTGCTTTTTGGCATTTCCATTTTAAAGGTCACAGCTTGCTTCCAATATGTAATCTGATACTGAAGAAGCCACACATTATTCAGAAAGAAAAAGAGTGAGGGAGTGTGACATCGCTCAAACATGCAAATACAGAAGGAAACATGTAACACCTACTTGCCCACAATGTGTCCCTGCTTGACTTTCTCTCCATTTTCTCTCTCTCATTATCTACCCTTTTTTTTTTCTCCTCCCTCCAGCTCTTTAATGAGTTATCAGCATTGTGCCGCTCTCAAGGGGAGCTCAAGTCCTATCATTGTTGAAAAGCACCAAGCAGCAGCGACGGGCATGTGTTATGGGTGCTAAATTTAGGATTTGAATGCATAGGCCATGCACCCATTTAGAGGTCTGGCTCGCTTAAATAATGTGAGGGCACCCATTCTTCTTGGACCCTCTCGGCAACATATTTCTCTCAATGGAGTCAAAGGGAGAGGAGAAATAATTAAAAGTCCACTTTTGGCATTTTCCTTGAAAAAGACACACTGTCGTGCACATTCACAATTGCTCTCGCCTCCATTCACTGGCGCTTCTCATTAGGCTGAAGCAACAGCCCTAATGATGGGCTTTTTTCTCCAATGCAGAGGACAGGGTGGGTGTCACTGAAACATTGGCTTATCGTATCATAGAGATGAAGAGGATCTATGAGGGAAAAAACCCACTAAAGATGAGAAGAAAACAAAAAGTCGTTTTCAAGAGTAGCTAAAAAAAAAAAGGTCCTGCCGTCACACCCTATAGAAAGCATTATTCCTTCGTCCCCTCATCCTCTCCATCCTTCTCTTCAACCTGTAATATACAAGTATCATAGACACGGATTAGATGTGAAAAGGCTGAATATGTTCTGCCAATAGCGGTAGAAAGGGTGAGTTGAAAGGATGACGGCTCCAGCGTGGAGCTGGAGCTGCATATTGTACAACAGATTGGCTGTCATTACCAAAGCTTTTCATCTACTGACAAGCCATCAAGCCCAGACAGGACTGCTGATCTAGCCGTGTAATATCATTTTTGGTTGTGTTGTCGTAACTGGCAGTATGATCCACCTCGCTTTAGGAGACATTGTGATTGAAAGTGCTGTCGGTAATATTCTTTTGAATGAAAATACTAAAGTTCTATGTATTGTGTTAGACTATTTCAAATTGAGTGTTCTATGTTTCTGTGATGCAGTCCCTCTTTCAAGCTAATTTCATTTTCCTCTGAAGTCAATTTTCTTTCCATTTCTGTTTTTTCTAGTGGTCTTCAGTCAATTCGCCTACTTCCAGACTGCTCTGAATGACATTGTGGAGGTTTATGATGGGGCGACACAGAACTCCCGTGTTCTCAGCTCCCTCTCTGGAGCACACACAGGTACTTCAGCACACACACACACACACACACATTAAAATGCAAGAGATGACTCGCTCATGCTTGTACAGTCTTTGTTTCATATTCAGCACCAGTATTTAACAAATCAGCAAAGGTAATTGGACTATTTCATCTCCTGGTCATTATTTTTCAACATGACGGCAGACTAAATGAAATGTTGTCTTGGCCTTATCCCTTTCATAAGGATCCAGTTAAACTCACAGACAAATTGCTGACACAGGCAGAGTGGTGGGGGCTGCAGGTGGGCTCCAGTGAGCTGTAAAACAATTCAGCGGTGACAACAACAACTAACAGAGTCACAGGGATAACATATCAGCAGACAGGCCAGAGAACCCTCCCATGCACATACACCTGAATTTGTATTAGACAAACACACAGCGACTCTCAGGATAACTGCACATACTGTTGTGAAGTCAAACGGCTGTGCTCAAACACAAACACTTGCATGCTGGGTTTAAGCCAGGGAAATAACAGGGACTTTTTCTTCTATCCCTTTCATCAAGTACAATAAGTGCAGCCTTAGCAATAACACTTGAAATAAAGATACCTACTCACAGCTGATTCAACTTTAGCGCAGCTATCATAAATAGTGCATTACAACAGTAGAGCATTATAACTTTTTATCTTACAGCTGTTTATTCATGCAACAAACCTAGCTTCTTTTTTAAAATCAGTACCTTAGTTTTTGAAATACCTTTATTGTTTTATTAAAAAACATTATCTAACAAGAAGCGGAGGTGTTGCCCACGCTGCGCTGGCTGTGCCCGGCCGGGCTCCGTGGCAAGCCCGGCCACCAGACGCTCGCCGACGAGTCCTCCTTCTGGGCCTGGCTCCAGAAGGGGACCCCGGGCTTCCTCCGGGCCGGGTATCCTCACTTCGTGTGTCGTCTTTCATGAGGTCTTGTGAACCAATCTTAGTCTGGCCCCTTGCCTGAGACCAATTTGCCATGGGAGACCCTACCAGGAACACAAGGTTCATCAGGGCACACAAACCTCTCTACCACGGTAAGGTGCTGGTTCTTCAGAGAGGCCATGACCGAAAGAACGAGATCGCGGGTACAAGCGGGCCGAGATGGGTTTCTCCGCCAGGTTGGCTGGTGTCTTCCCCTTAGGGATAAGGTGAGAGAAGTTCAGGTCATCCG